GATAAGTCAGGGCCAAGCCAGCTCCGATCAGCCAGAACCCTGTTACCATTGTTCCGAATAGGTAGATATCTTCAGCACTCAGGCTCACCCAAGCCCAAACTTCTCGTTGAGAGGGGGTGTCAATTGCATTCAGGGACCAGTTGATTCAATCCATAATTCCTCTTTTAGGTTTTAGAGAACAGACTGTGAGAGAATGTTCCAGGGAAAATACAAAAAAACCATGAGACTAGACAAGGACATAAGCAGGGAAGATAAGGGAGAGGAGAAAAAGTGCGTCCGCCTCCTCCGAGAGCCAAAGAAAGAAAGTGGTGTTGCTCAAGACCACTTTAAAAATTAAAGTCTGGCTCCTCCAAAACAAATCCACTGCTGGAAACAAAAGGAGCTCGTTCCAGGAGACAGTCGGTTACTCCAGGAGACCTGGACAGGTGGGACCAGTAAGTGCTCCTTGGTGCAAAGAGGAACATGCTGAGCACAGCCAGAGCAAAATGACCTCCAGCAGGACGCTGGTGTGAACGTGTCTGACCGAACCAACGGACATCTTCTGGTCCTGTCACTGTCCAGCACCGAGAAGCTTTTCTGTTTGAGGAGTCCAGTGCTCGTTCGTGCAGAGACGATGTCACAGTGGGATATTTGTGTAGTGCAGCCTTAAAGTTATAGTTTGGACTCTTGGTGGCGATCAGTCGATCGTTTCAGAAATGTCCTGAACTCTTTTCATTGATTCTGAGGTTTCTTTAGGCTCTTTGTGCAAACATTTCTGGGTTGTTGCCCAAAAAGGGCGACAACTGTTTCATTTGTACATATTTTATTATTTCATCTTAAAGAAAATCAGCATTACGTAAAAAGCATGTGGACAGGTGTTGATTCAAATCAGTACAAAAAATATCAGCTTTGATTTAGAAAAGCAGCTTTCAAGACACGCCGCCAACTCACCGAGGTTTATCCACCAGGATCAAAACAAGAACGAGCCAATCACAGAGCAGAAAGAACAAAGTGAGCACGTGCAAATTCTGCTTCACAAAGTTATTTTCACTTTAAGATTTTGTTTTACTGAGTTTAAACCGTTCTGGTGTTTCTGACCATGAGCTGACGGTTACATGTTTGATGTGTTCAACAACCCGTACCTGCTGGAATTTTCCAGCTTTGGGAGATAAACACAATAAATGAAGAGACCTTCATTACCCAGGTTAATATGATCAAGGGCCAGCTGACTGACCTGAGCTCTGTTTTTACTGCACTGCTCAGACAGAGGCCTGATTCTGCCTGAAAGCACAAGCAGAGGGGGGTGTAGCTCAGAGGGGGGTGTACCTCAGCGGTAGAGCATTTGACTGCAGATCAAGAGGTCTCCGGTTCAAATCCGGATGCCCCCTGTAGAGGCTCGGTGCTGTTTTATCTGCCCCTGCTGACAACAAGCTCTGAATCTGTGAGGAATCGACCTGTTCACACTCATATTTGATTTCTTATCACAGATGATGAAACCATGCAGCAGATCCTGTAGCTGCTGCTTCACACTGTTGCTTAGTTAGCTTTCACCTGCTGTCTGCTGTTGAGCTGCTCTTTCTGTTAATAGTTACTGTTGCTGTGGTAACCATCATCTTAGGATTCATTTGCACTTTAATTTAAGAGGTCACTTACCTTCATACATTTCTGTGTTTGCAGTTATCTGCAGTTTGGTTCAATGCAGTGCAACAAGGCCCTGATGACCTGAAACCAAACGTCCACACACCTCTCCCTGATGTTTAACACACTCTGATCAGTTGGAGGCTGAATGAAGCTCAGTCTGACCTTAAATAGCCTTGGCTGCTGACGTCTTCCCTGCTCCTCTCCTCCCACACAGAACCAGGTTTAGAGATGGTTTGATGAGTTCAGGCACCGACATTACTGTCATGGCTGGACCAACATCTCAGACGCTCTCCATTTTTCTCTCTAAATATTTGACCCAAGCCTGATCACCTGTGATGAAGATCTCCCTGTGAGTCCTCCTCTGTTGTTTTAGGATCCCTGGAAGTCTATTTTAAACCTGTTGTTACTGATCTTGGTTTTAAGTTGGACAGTGATTTTAAATTGGACAACCAAATCAGAGCAGTGGTGAAGTCCAGTTTTTATCATTTAAGGCGACTGGCAAGAGCAGTGGCGGAGCGGGGGAGGTGGCTTACTGGGCCCAGGTTGTTTTTTCAGAAGCCCGGGGTCTTTTGGAGTGTAATTTTTTCATAGTTAGATTCCTGGCTG